CAGCCTCCTTTACTCCATATTGTTTTTCAATACACAACTTCATAATTCAGAAAATGAACACAGTTTTCTTCAAAAGGGTCAAATTTATTAAGGACAAACATCCGCACAAGGACAACGTCTCTCCAAAGGCAACATCTCTGCAGGACATGCTGCAGATGCGTTTGCTGCCCACGAGTGCCATCATTTGTTGCTCACAAGTGGCCCAGGAGACCTCTCCTTGCTTCCTCCCAAATCCTTCCACATCTACCGCATCGCACTGAGACCAACTACGTAACAAAGGGTAACATCCACAAGTTGTGGCCACATAGGGAAAGCTTTCCTATGAGCAAGGTGGTGCAGTGCTGAAAGGGTCACCTGGAGAGTTGGGAACTTCTCTATCCCTGCAGGTGCTGGACACCATCCTTCTGTACTGGTGGTATTAGAGACCTCCATGGTCCCTCCCAGCCAGCATTTTGTGGACTCTCTCTCAGGTCCTGTTGTGTTGTAGGAGACACCAATGGTCTGGCTGCTCTCTGGGACTTACCTGCCTTCCCCTCGAGCTTCACGCCCCTAGATTCACCCCTGCCAAGTCCTCATAGTAGACCATGATGATCTCCCTCAACTCCCCTTGTTACATCCTCAAGCTTCCCAGGTAACTCAGTGCACACCCTGGGGAGACATCAAGGTCAGGGCAGCTCTTTGCATGGTGAGGAAGGTAAAGGCATGGTGGGGGTGGGGGGTGGAGGGGAAGAGAAGACACTCAAGATAAAAATACAGACAATACAAAATATAAACCACCTCTGAGAGCAGCTTTTTTATGCATGTGAGTTAACCATCCATAGACACCGTTAACTCTAGGAGGAAGCAGCAGAACCAAACAACCCATTGATGCAAAACCTAAAAAAAAAAAACAAGGACCAGAAAACACCTGGTTCAATTAAATATATGCAGTCCACTACTTGATGCCCTCCACGCACACAGGAGAGCCACAGAATCGCACAGTCACCAAATGGGTAAGTCTGGAAGGGACCACATGGCCATACACACCATGCAATTTGCAAAGGAGAGTGTACAGATCAGCACTAAGGCCGTGCTGTCTCCAGGCAGACATGTATCACCACTGAATGTGGCAAGTCACCAGCTGACCCAGACAACTCTGGGAGCTGCTGATGAGGAGCAGCTGAATCCTGAAGAGGAGAATGCAAGGAGCTGAGGGAAGACCAGACTGAATAATGTCACCATTCATTTTTTTTTTTTTTTACAGATTTATAACAATGGCTCTGTGAGGATATAATGCCTCTAAACCTTTGATCAAACGCCTGAGTGCCCACAGAGGTAAGAAGGAAGCCTGTAGAAAGCACGGGGCTGCTCAGCCTGATGCTCCCTCCCCACCTCCCCATCCAGGCATCCTTGTACACACTCATCACCCCATGAAGCCACTTTAAAGAAGCAAAAATGTCTGAAACAGGAGACAGCTCAAACAGATTTTTATCACCACATCCTGCACATACCAAGCGAAATCAGAAAGGCAAAGGCGGAGGTGCAGTCCACAAAATAAATAAGCCCTTAAGCCTCACAGTGAAAGAGTCGGCATCTTGGCTGGGGAGGGGCTGGGGTGGGGAGTGGCATCTGAGGAAGAGCTCATTAACATCGGGAAGATCAGTGAAACTATCAATGAAACAAAGCAGGTCACATTGCGCCGCAGGAGAGCAGAGGTGAGAGGTGGGAGGAGCCCGGCCATCTGCGCCTACAGCTGCGATGGGACACATGGTAAGGTCCAAATCATAGCAAAAAAAAAAATTAACTTCATTAAAAGCTCTGGTCGGATGTAAGCCCCGGCTGGGTGTTTTTACACTCCTCTGCAGCAGAATCAGGGCAGGACAGGCAGAGCGATAGCATCGCACTCAGCATCGTCAGGCTGGCTATGAAGGGTCGTGAATCCAGTTCCAAGATAAGGGATTGTCACCGCTTAAGCACCTACCCCTTGAGCTGCAGCAATCGGTTGGATTTACGTATTGCTATTGCACCAAGCATGAGGAATAGCACAGCCTAAAAGCCCTTCCAGGTGTGTTTTAACTAACCAGTCTAATGTGCTACCTGTTAGGGCAGCAACTCAGCAGGCTCTGCTCCCCAGTGCTCCTCACACTGCCTTCATCAAAGACGGTTTTAAGCTGCTATACACACACCTATACGTGGGATCAGCACTGATTTAGCTGGGCTACTGCAAAACCTGGCAGAAGCAGGGACCTCACAAGTGCCAGAGGACTCAGCTCGACACCCAGACAGCATCGACACAGTGCACCCCTTCCTGTCCTGTATCTCCTGGCCTCTGGGCTCTGCCTCTTTTTGCCTCTTTGCAAGGTCCTCAGGTTTGACAAAGTTATCTTGTCCTGTTTGGCCAAATTGCTGTTTCTCAGGATTGATCAACTTGTGTCATGCAAATTACCCAGGGAGGAGGTAAACCAAAAAAGGGGTATTCAGATGGTTCCTTTTATGTTTCGCAGATTATTTGCATCCGTATTCTCTGCCTTTAGGGTAACTCTCAGTTGACTGAACACCTGCTTTTAGCTGCCGGGAAGCACATAACAAACCTCCTTCTCCACCCACCCTCAATTCACACCCCTTCCAAGTATTTCACTGGTGTCACTGAGACTTGCAAAACTCTCTTCAGGCAGGCTGCTCATTTCATCTTGGTCAAGATTGAAATGACCATATTCTTCTGCTTGCCATGTCCCAGAATCCCAAAGCGTCCCAGCAAACCAAACTGAAGGAAAGCAGAGAGCCTCACACCAGGTCATGGGCTTGGTGGCTTCACATCTCTGAGCCCTGAATGTTCTTGCTGACATCCAATTTGTCAGCCCAGCACAAAGATGCTTCAAAAAAAGGAGTGATGGAAAATGAAAGACAAATGGAGTGAACTTCATTGTGGAAAAGCCAGACAGACATCCAGCAGCCAAGTAAAACTGAGGCTCTTGCCTGGAAACCACTGATACTGCAAAAAGCATCCATCCTGCTCAGCCCTGGGATTTTCTGATACATAGCTCATCCTTAACATTAATTCTCTGCAGCTCCAAAGAATCAGTTTATTCCTGTGATGTCTTAGAATCCATATTTGCTATAAATCTTAAGAATTTGCTCTCTGGACAGAGAATTGAGGCACGGCCTGAGAGCAAAGAGACCAGCAGCAGAAGCAAGCATCAAACCCAAGGGCACCATGAGTCCCTGTAACATCTTCTGGTCCCCAAAGTGGACAGACGGAAGGCACAAGATGCATCTGTCCCCCACATGCACTTGTCTGGTGCTCAAGTAAAGGGCAGTGACCACACAATTTCACTGCCACAGCGTTTCTCTTGCTGTAAAAGGAAAAATTCCTCCCTCCAGGTCAATGAAAATACTCCAGTGTCTAGTAATACAGAAAATCTAACAGTAAATTTCAGAAGAAACTCTAAATATATAAGAACAACACACACACATTCCCTTTGCCCACTTAACAAGAGAGATGTACTACCGTAAATTATATTTCTTCCTTGACTTAAAGTGACAACCTTGACAATGGACCATCAACACCAATCCCTCTTTCTGAACAGGCTGCCCTCTGAAAACATATTGAGGGCATCAGCAGAAGCAAAAGAATACCTAAAATCTTCCAGAGTTGCCTCTGCTTAGGTACAACAGCTTGTACCTCTAAATCTCAATGAGTGTAGATATTTATCCTCACTGTAGGATGAATTAGCCAGTGCAGGATGAGCACTCTGCAAACACAATCAGAAAACGATGTTTCCATCCCTCAAAAAAACCAGGAGGTGAAGCAGGAGGAGGTGGCCCAGCAAAGGTAGGTAGGTAGGTATCTGTGGGGGGATTTCCCCTGGTTGGAAGATGTAGTGATGTGCACAAAAGCTCTGGAGGGAGTTTCTAATCAAGAGAGACCTGACATGCAGGTCCCAGTTCTTCACAGTACACCACCTACAGGCTGCTGCACCTTAACTGAGTTACCAGGATGTGGATACTCCCGCTACAGGTATCAGGCTCCCATTGGGAGATGGCAAGTATTGTTCCAAACCTTCCTGTGGCTGAAAAGCCACAAGCCACATCACTCAAAAAGCCAGAGACCAGAGCAGCTCCAGGGCTGGTTCCCAGGAGGTTCTAGTGCAGCCCAAGCAGCCTCACTGGGTCTTAGTGCAGCAGCTCCTGGGGCTGGAATCATTTCCTGAGGCTGGAATCATCTTTCTGGTTCCCACTGGGACTGCAACAGCCAGTGTGAGATGACCCAGTTGGACTGAAACCTCCTCGGCAATCATACCCTATCCTTCAGGAATGTACTTATGCTGCCAGTGTATAAACGCTGAGAGCAGGCTCAGACAAGTGGCTCACAGATTTAAGCTGTGTCCAAACCTTGAAGAAAATTTAAGGGCAGCTTAGGAGAGGCCAAGCTTTTATCCAGTGGGTTTGGACCCCCCAAGCCACAAGCAAGCACCTTGAACTCCAGTCCTCCCACACAGGGTACAGACATGACACATGCCTTGCAGACCCTACATCCAAACAAGCTGTCTTGGCTATGCTGACAGTGCAGAGAAACAGGTACTGTAGGGAATGATTCATCCCATTCAGATGCCTACAGCAGGTCAGGGTCAGGCACTTCCTAAAAATATCCATTTCCCTCCAGCGACTGTAAAAGGAGGCTGAAGGGGGAATGGATCAATAGTGAGTAATGGCAGGAGAGCTCTCTAAATCTAGAGGGGCAAAGTCCCCTGCTGTGAAGCCTAAATACAGCCAGAAACAAGGTCTGTGTGATGCACAGACCTCAACATATTCCAGGTAGTTTCCAGCCCTTCTGAAACTCCAAGCACATCAGCAGCTTACAATCCTCCCATCTGCCCTGAAGAGGCAAAATACAGGGAAACCTGTACCAGAAGTGAAATCTGGAGGATCAATAGAAGAGGTCTCACAGAAAGGGTTCAGGGAAGATCAGGGGAGAGCTTGTATCTCCAAGTTTATGAGTGCTGAAAGACATCACCACTCACCTCATTTCCCAGGAAACCCTGGCAGGATCTGACCTCCCTTCCACTCGCTCCTCCCTTCTCCTTTTTGTAGTCAACCGAGACCTATATGACATTGCAACAAAAGAAATGTCAGCAAGCCCAACTTTGTCCCTTCCCTCCAACCAAAAAGCGTCAGCTTTCTTAGTTTTTCAATATGAAGCTGCACTGGAAAGCAATTATATACAAATTTCATCTTATATATCTATTTAAATATTTATATATCTATTTAATGTATATTACCTTTTTAAATATATATACACATATATAAATTGCAGCTGCAAAAGGACAGGCATCAGTGATAGAGCCCCTACAAACTGTCCTGTGTTAGACACCCATGATGACCCAGAAATGTAACATCAAAATGAGGTTCTCCTGAGATGTCCACCATCAGCTCTAAAGCAATCCCTTAAACACTTCTAAGGAGTAATGGGAGGAGACACAGCCAGGAATGCCAGGGAGCCTGGGATGACAAGAAATGTCTTGTGGTGCATGCCTGGGGCTGGCCCAGAGCTATGAGGAAAAGGGATGGAGGCAGTGGGCTCCTGCTCCATGACCCAGAGCATCCCACCATCATCATGGAGAGGCTGTGGGCTTTTCCTCGTGATGACCTCCAGACATTGCTGACACCCACCCCATAGTACAGCCTGAGGATCACACAGGATCACACAGGACAGCCAGACGGACATCAGGCTGTTGTTCAGGTCCCCAGCACTCTGATGGGTAGTGGGCTTTGCAGACTGTTTTCTCCCACCATCTAGGTCCCCATTTTCTTCTCAGGCCACAGAGCCCTCATCAGTACGGCCATAAATCACACATCCATATAGCAAACAGCTATACGTCCCACAGCCTGCTGGCGGTATGAGCTTGAGGCAGAGCAGGGAAGGGGACCTTTATTACCATCAGAATCGCCTCATCACTCAGCCTACTTAACCCAGCCACATTTGCACTGCTAAATTTGGGAGAGTATGAGAAGCATTCCCTCATAACAGGAGGTGGGGGAGGGACAAGCAGGCTACTGGCCTCTTTTAACTCCCTGCCAAGTATTCTGTAATTCAAAGTCCACGTCAGGAAAGCCACCCCAGGCTACACAGCAATGGCCCAGACCCAGCAAACCCAGAGATCTGTCGCCTTAACCCTTTCATTTCAAGAAAATGATAGTCAGGCTTTCGGAAACAACTCCCACTGAAATAATGGGTTTCCAGGAGGTATGTGGGGGGAATTCTGGGCATGAAAGGAGGGGCTCAACTTCAGACAGCCGAGTTTGAAGACCCTGCCCTGAAGGAATGCAGTGCTCAGCCTGGTACCTGCTAGCAGCAATCCTTACCTTCACACTGATTTAAGAAGCTGTGAATGACTATTTTTGGGTGCAAAATAGATGAACAACTCAGGAAAGACAGCATCAATACCTGCAGCAAGAAGGGGTCACCACCCCTGTCAGCACCCAGAAGCACTACCCTGACCTGCAGCAAGGGACACAAAAACAGTTATCACCAGGCTTTGCTTCTGAGCTTGTAGAAGCAAATTAAACCTCCCTCCTTGTTGCTGGCAGGTACAGGAAGGAAATGCATGTTACAGAAACCTTTCTGGGCCCGCTTTTCATAACCATCATCAGCACCTGCACCCTCATGCAGATGCCCAAAGAAATCTGCCCCTGGAAACCCAACCTGTGGAACATCTTGGGGGGGGGGGCTGATCACACCCAACAAATAAACACTTTAGTTAAACCCAGAGGGTGCCAAGTGTGGTGGTGTATGCGGTGAGCCTGAAATCTTCCCCAGCACCCACACTGAGACATTCGAGGGAGCTTTTGAGGAATCCAGGCATGAGCCTGGGTTAAGTAGCCGTGGAGCTACAGCTGCTCCCCTGAGACCTTTCCCAAGCAATTCACACACACCCCAAAAAAAAACCTAGGCTTGTTTTCAGTAAAAGTGGGCATCAAACGTTCTGACATCAAGAAGGATGATTAAAGACAGCTGAGTTGCAGGAAAGATTAAAAGAACTAAATATGCCCAACCTGGCTAAGCAATGAGTAAGAGGAGACGTGATAAAAGACTCCAGGCATTTGAATGAAGGGAGTGGCATGGCATTAAAGGACTGAATAAAATATCTTTCTGAGAAATGGATCCATCAACGATCTCTCAAGAGATAAGGTACAAGCCTCATTTTTTAGGCATTTATAAAACCGGTCGCCAGAACTGAGGTTTTTGAGGAGAAATCCACATGGCCCCAAATGGAGCACGCACCAAAGCTTTACCAAAGCTTTTCATCTCCAGCACGGGGTGCTGCAAGCAAGTCCATGAGGGAGTACAGGAAACTTGGGAAGGGGCAAGGGTTTCATACCACCTCACCCAAGAAACAGATATGCTTTCTCACTGTAAAATTAAAAAAAATATATATATTTGATTTTCACTTATTTTTGATTCAGCAGCCCTAATCCATAATGTTTCAGGTCTAGAGAAAAAAAAAAAGGAAAAAAAAAAGAAGAAAATAACCACTAATCAATTCAAAACAAACAGGTCTGGGGATCTTACAAGTAGCAGACTCTCTTTTCCCCAATAATTAAAGTTTCATGGCATGGTATCAAGGAAGCAAGAGCCTGGATAGAGGTGAGCAGTGGTGCTCCTGGTGGCTGCCACCCTTGCAGCTCTCTGGACAAAGTCAGACCCACCATACACATGGGCAAGGTGATAAAATCCTGGAAAGATTTTCAATACCTGGCGCTGCTGAGATGATACCCCTCAGTGAAAGTACCTTCTGACCCTCTGAAACACAGGGACCTGATGCACTTTATGAAGATCAGAAGTGAGCCCTAAGGCCTGAGAAAACCACCCAGGAGGAGAGAGAAACCTGTTATGCTGGCTTTGCCCCCAAAAGCCATGTAATGCACATACCTACCTAAATACCAACTCTGTGAAGCCAAAGCAGTGGATTCTGTGTAATTTCACATGATGTCCACCCATGTAAGGGCCTTCTGAACATCAACACAGACAGAGGGGTGCACCCAAGGGAAGGAGCTTGACCTGGCCAAAACTATTTATTGAATACAGACATATGCATGGTGAGGCTTCTACCAGCATCAGCTTATCAGTTCATCTGATGTGCCCGGGGGTTGCAGTTAATCCCCCAATGTTCTTTCAAGTGCTTCTGCCTCCATATTGTTGATCCAACTCAGCCACCTGATATGATTTACAAAACTCAGTGGTATCCCAGATTTGGGTACCTGGGAGACTCCTTCATCCTCAGCTGGAAAAGGCCAGCTGTCAGTGGTTTAATTGCAAATCACAGTTAAATTCACACAATGGCCATGTATACTGTCCCAGCTGCCCCTGGCTCCCCCGAGCTGGTGAGCCTTCTAAGAGGAAACTAGGTAGGAAAAAAACACAAAAGGTGAGCAATTTTCTTCTAATTAATTCCCTAAACCAGTTCAGTGGGGCTCAGGCAAGTACTAGAAATCTTTCTCCTTTTGGCATGACCGAGATCAGCTGAACTGCAACACGTGACCTCAATCCAAGGCAACCTTTGTTCCCAAGACTAAGAGAGTGGATCTTTTTAATTTTATTTTTCCCCTTTCCCACAGCAACCTCTTAAGTCTGCAACTGCCCTTCTCCATAGGAACAGGAGATCCACCGTTAACTGACCAGTGAGTTTTACTGCAGAGTTGAAACAGGATGTTCACAGAGGATTTTATTGTATTTTTTTTAATAAGTGGAGCATTTTAGTAGGCAGTGAATCTTCTTGCTTTATGCTTGCTTGTCTCTTTGGGAGGCTGAAGTACAAAACCAGGCTGCCAGGTTCATTTTATATATTGAAGAGACATGATTCTGCTCTACCCAATTATAAAAAGACAACATAAAAAGACCCGTTCAAAGTGGAGGAAACTGTGTTCTTACAATTTAGGATGAAAAGGGAAAATTAAAACTTCTAAAATAGATTATTATACCTTCTATCAAATCTTCTTCTTCCCACAGAATCAGCTGCTTCCATCACTTCAGCAACACTGATGCTGGAGATTACCTGGCCTAGGGTATCACTGTCACAAAGAATTAAGGGTTTGCAGGTTCTATTTGGCCAACTCCCTCCTTTTCTTTTGATGGTAATTTTGGGTATCCCTGCTCAGGCCATGACTGTAGTTTTACTCTGCTCTCAAACCCTTTCAGACTGACAGCCAGACCTGGCAGCCCTCACAGCTAGTGAGGCAGAAGGGCACAGCCCCTCTCTGACCCACAACTCATCCTTCCAGGAATGACTTTTGGGATCAGAAGGAAATGTAAAATTTTGACTCATGCAATTCTCACTACAGGGAATAAAGGTTATTTTGTCCCCATTCAGACAGTTAAAAAGAAACAACTCTCTCAAAACCACAGAATAGTTTCTACTACTCAGAACAGTGGGTTGGGATAATTCATGTGTAAAAAAAAATGATGGAGAAAGCTCTCTCAAGGATGAGCCCCAGGAGGGAGGTGTGTGCTGGGAAGCAGCCAGTTCCTCGTGTCCTTCCCAAGAAAAGCATTTTCTCATCCTGACACACGCATTTTGGTACATCCACTCCCACTCAGCAGAGCCTTTGGCGGCATCCATTTTCCCTGGATATTTTACAAATGCTTATCCAGAGCCTCCCATTCTCACATGACAATAACAGTTATTCTATTTTCAGTTTAGATTTGAAAAAGGTGCCAGAGAGAAATGAGCATGTTTCAGGTTTCAGGAAGACGGGCACCTCTGCCGGCAGCCGCTCCTTTGCTGCAGGATAGGGGATGCACTTGCCCTACGCACTAAGCTCTCGGAGAGGGAATGAGGCAGCATGTAAGTGCCCGGACTGCTGCTGGTAGTCTGGAAAGAGTTACTGCTGGGCTCAGAGGATTTCTGCCTTTCCAACAAGCTGGCCGGGGTGAAGAATGCAAGTGACGAAGCAGCATCCTGCAGGGAATGAGGGGAAAGCATTAAAAAAAAAAGAAAAAAGTTACAGAACTCCACCTCTTTGGCTGAAGTTCAGGATGACTACACTTTTACTGTAAGTGTTTGGTAACTCAGAGTCACATAACCCTCTCTGCCCACTTGGGGCC